GGTTGCAGTGGCTAGGGCTGGGCCAGGCGGAAACCAAAAGCCAGGAGTTTCTCCCAGGCTTCCAAATGGGTGCAGGTGCCTAGGCACTTGGGCCATTTTCTGCTGCTTTCCTTGGGGCCTCTGGCAGGGAGCTACAGCAGAAATGGAGCAGGCAAGACACAAAACAGTACTTATGTGGGATGCTGGCATTACCAGCAATAGGTTTACCTACTATGCCACAATGCCAAACCCCAAATATTCTTGACATATATCTCATATGAAACTTGAACCCCAAATGAATAGAAACTCTTACCTCAAAAGGCAAAAACTGGGCGAATGATTCAAAGAGATACTGCACAGCACCTGCAAATTAAAATGACGGTAAGACTCCACTTTCTACCCAAGGGCTAACATCGATCACACAGAAATGACAGGGGAACTGTGGCCAGTGCAGAAGGACAGAGCACCAGCACTTGTGCTGTTACTAAAGAGCTGCTCATCAAAATCACAAATGCTTCTGTCTGCAAGGTGCAGCTCAACCTCTAGTTCCAGGAAAGAAACGAGAACACAGCCCCACCGCACGATTTCTGCATGAATGCTCACAGCAGTTTGAATTTATAATAGTTGCAATCCACACCAATTTTAAAAAAAAAAGAAAAAGAAAGAAAACTGAACAGTTTGAAACTAAAAAATGCCAAGGGAAGAAATAAATAAATTACAGTGTGTTCATAGAATGAAATACTAATCAAGAAAAACAAAAGAACCAACGATGGAACAATCACACAGAGGCATGTCCCAGACATTGTGCTAAGCAGAACAGACACAGAAGGGGGCTCACTGGGCGATGTCCACTTCCACGGGGGTCTACAGCAGACCGCACAGGAGAGAATGAAGAGCCAGGCTGGCCTGGGGAAAGTGCTGGGTGGGCTTCAGGGCACTGAGTGGAACTGGTGCAGCCCTGGAATCCTGAGCGGATTATTGCTCTGTTCCTTACTCCTGGTCCTGTTTATCAGGGCACACATGTCTCTAGACCACATTGGTTTGCATCTTTTGAGGGCCATGTATCTTATTTTATACAGCCAGATCTCAGTCACATGGATTTCTCTTGCTCCGTCAAATGAGCAAAAGGGACACTTGGAACAGCCAAGCGTAGCCTTCTTATGTTCACAGTAGACACACACACACACACACACACACACCTGTCCATCAATAGTCTTCATCGACTTTTAAATCCTAAGGCCTGGGCACCAAGCAGTCACGGTTACCAACTGTTCATGGTCGATCATAAGCTTGATTCTCTGCCATCCACTTACAAACATTTTATCTTTCCAACGATACTGTAAAAGTGCTCTTACTCCATTTCTCATGGAGAACTGAGTCTGGGAACGGCTAGGTTAATTTGTCCAAAATTGCACCAGGAGACGTAACAGGCATCCGGCCTGCCCACGTGACTTAACTGTATTGTTTCTACATCTTGTCACCTTCCCAGCTGCCTTGTAAATCATACTTATCCCAAAGCCATTTACCCACTGGCGCTCAGCTAACCCTCCTTGCTACCCCATTTAATTAGCCTGCTCACAATCTCCTTGTCAAGTAAACTGTCATGAATCATTCAGTTTGTTTCCAGTAACTAAAGAAAGAAAAGAATGCTCACCTTCTTCCTGTTTCACAGGGTGAGACTTTAATACAGTGGTTACTGACAGGACAGACCTGGGATTAGGGTGGAGTTGTGCCAACTTTTAATGGACCCTGTTGCTTAACCATTATAGGCATCCGTTTCTTATCCACGAAATCAAAGTATTAAGAACTACCACACAGGGTGGCTGCTAGGGCAACAGGAGCTAACGCATTCAAGCTTTCTGCATTGAGCTGGGAACACAGGAAATAACAGGTAACAATGCTTGTTATCAATGAGAAGGCGAGTATTGTCCTGCAGGTAATGGAATTGTTTACTTTCGCTACTCTCATTATTTTATTACTACCTGCTTTCTCCACCGCTGACACACTTAACTAACTGGAAAAGGTCTTCTGTATTCACCACAATTATTCAGGCAACACAAGTTTTTCATCACTGATAACTGTAAGACTGTAATTCAATATTTCATAACTTATATTCTATTTAATATTTCAATACCCTTCCTACTTTCCCAACTGCTACTTCTGCCAGCAGCTCAGTGCCAACTATTTATAAAAGCTTAAGAGCACTGAAAATAAAGGTTAAAAACATGTCAACGGCACAGAAGGCCTTTCTCATTTTCCTAAGTAGCCCGCAATAGTGTGACCTGCAGGAATCAGAGTTCCTACTGAGCCATGGCATTGGCCCTTAGGCTTTTCTGTACCTTCCAGAGGAGCTTACTGTAACTCATCGGACAGTCGGAACGTAAGAAAACAGGGTGGAAGCCAGAGAAACCCATGTTGGCTATAATTACACCCATTCTGTATCTACCTGTGCCTGCCTGAGCTTTGAGATGCTTTGTATGTACAATTTTCATGTTTATGCTGCTATCTAATTAAGGAGAAGGAAGATGAATAAATGAGTAGCATTCTAAACAGAACAGAAAGATTGTGGCTCCCAAAGTTGAGTGTCATACAATAGTAAACAGGTTTCATGTCCACAGTCCCCTCAAAGCTTCCTTCCTCTCTGCCTCACTCCAAACACGTAACACACCCTCAAATGTTCTGAGATCCGTGTTACAGAAGAGGGAGGAAGGAAAAAATCAAACTGTGGAGAATTTCCTGTGGGTTGTCAGGCATGTCACCTTGTTCCTCTGAGCTTTAAGGGAAGGAAGCATGTGCTGGAAGGAGATCAAGCAGGGGATGTTACCCACTGCCAAAACCACATCACTGCACTTGAGTGGGGCAGGAAAGTTTTGCCTGAGTGGAGCCTAATTGCCCTCCTCAACTTCAAGGGCACTTCAAGAGGTTTGTGTTAAGACAGAATCAAGAGGTGAGTTCATCTTAGCTCAGAAGATGTTGAAACCCACTGCAGAATCTTTCCCAATAGGCATGTGCCACGAATGTTTCAAAGACCCCTCAGCAGTGTGAGTTTCACATGTTTAGGTATCAGAATAAACTGACCTCTCCATTCCATTTTCCCATGAACTTTTTGAAATATCATTGCCTATTCCATTGTCCTGGAGGATCATGCCTAGGTTATATTTAGTTAAATAACTGTTAGGATGCTGGAGAAGCCAAGAGGAGCCATACAGCTACAAGGACGCCAAGATGCAGACCTGGGAACACATCTCATTGTAGCATTTCACAACAGAAATGATCTAGTGCACGCCACAAGAACAGCTGCCTTTTCTGTCATTCGACTGCCTACTGGCTCCAATCTAATCACCTGAGCTTGACTTGCAGGCAGTTTTGTCAGCTGGCTGGCCCCTTATTTTTGTGGTCAATATAACAAATTCTTTTCAACTCTGATTCACTGCTGTTCTGAAAATTCACCCATTTTTCCCATCATCACATCACTTGTTCTATTTTTCCATTTTGTTCCAGTGACTAACCGTCTTACCTTCATCACGATCAAACATGCACTGAGACACTCCCATTCTTGGAACTGCACTCCACCGTTTCAATTCCAAGGTGGCCAAGAAGATGGGTACTCAGATTCACTGTATTTAATGCTTATTATTTCTGGAAGACTTATACCCACCTTGTTTACTGAGTTTTTTTGGGTTGGTTCTGTCTTGGCATGCAGGTGAATGTGTACCAACTGTCTACTAGCTATATTTGGGAGAATATGTGGACGCAGCATGTGGCGGAAGAGTGGGCAGAAGAAGGGAAGAGAAACATGCTGCTAATGTGAAGGCTTCACTCACTCCGCTCCTCTACTTGACTTTGACAATGACTTCTCTTTCTTACGTTTATTCTATTTTCCTTGTGAATCGCCTTGAAAGTATGATGCAGGGTCTTCATTTGCCTCTCAATTAACTTCTCTTGTGTTAGATGCCTTTCCCACTTCTCATTTTCCCACCTCCAACTTTCCACTTTACGTGGTTCCATAGGATGTTTTCAGACTACACAATGACACACACACATTATCACTATCTGAAAAGAATAGGGCAAACCTCCTGAGCCTAAGGAAAACAATGCATGCTTGAACTGACTCCTCTGTGACATTACTCCTGAGCTTTTGGTAATTCAGAGGTCCTGCTTCTCATACTGGTCTTTCTAGCTGACTCTGGTTCCTCCTTATATTTATTTATATATACAATCTGTTTACATATAATTTATATGATTTATTCATATATAATATGTTTTAATATCCCTCAAATATATATATTTATACACATCAAATACACCTATAATTTGAGGGACATTTCATATATATATAAGTATATATATTTACATATATTTATATTATATATATAAAATATAAAAATGTCTACCCTTGGCCAATAGGTAGACATCATGGATTAAAAACTGGATATTGGGTGTGGTAGCCTGGTAATTAAAATCCTCACTTTGCACATGCCAGGATCCCATATGAGTGCTGGTTTGTGTCTCAATAGCTCCACTTCCCATCCAGCTCCCTGCTTGTGGCCTCGAAAAGCAGCCAAAGATGGCTCAAGGCCTTGGGATCCTGCACCTGTGTGGGAGACCAGGAGGAAGCTACTGACTCCTGGCTTCTGATCAGCTGAGCTCCAGCCATTGCGGCCACTTGGGGAGTGAATCATTGGATGGAAGATCTTCCTCTATGTTTCTCCCCCTCTCTGTATATCTACCTTTCCAATGAAAATAAATAAACTCTTTTTTAAAAATCTGTATATCAATGAACAAGAATGTAAAAAAAAAAGAAAGAAAAAGTAAAAAGTAACATCACACCACTTCCCCTTGTGTGACACCTAGTATAGAATTCTCTGCAAGAGCACAGTATCACGGCCAAGACTCACGCTGGAACTTTATCAAGGCCACAAGGCTGCATGTCACCTCCCCGGAGCTGCTGCTGCCATTGTCCGTGCTGTGACGCCAGGGCTGGTGGCGAGCCACTGCGATTTCTCCAGCTTTCTGAAGATCAGTTTTTCCAACAAGCAGAGAGCGCAACGTGTGACTAGATGGTCTCCCCCAGGGCTTGCAAACACTGCTGTCCCCAATGTGGTAGCCACATGGTGGCTTTTCAGCAGGTTGAGTTTCAGCCAAAGAGAATTCTGAGGAAATGAAAGAGAGAGAACATCAACTAAGCTTTTCATTAGGCTGCGTGACAAAGGGTCATGGCTGTTCTCTCTGAGCATGTTTGTTTAAAAGCAAGGAATTGTTACACATCATTTATTGCTGTAGTCAGCTATGTACACTCTGATAAGACATTTTTAAGACTGATGAAACAAATCTGAGAAAGGTGATGAAGCTCACTCAGCTTTGTAAGTGTAATGCTCAGGCATGCCAACCATCATGATGGTGTACTACACTTGAGAGCATAAATGTGCCCAATAAATATTTGTAAAGAGAATGCATGCTGGATTTTACTGATGGGAGAGATATGCACAGAACAAATTGTGGTCTGCTGGCTAATTTGCCTATAAAATATACTCCATGTTTTGAAGTCCAAATCAAGGAATGTTCTGATTCAGGATCAGTAACCATAAATAAACTCAACAGTGAATGAACTGGAAGCAGCCAGAGTAACTGGGCTTCTTACAGAAATCAGAAAGGTTAAACCTAGGGAAAGACACTTTAGATTTGGGTCACTCCTCAAATCCTACAGATGACTCAGAACCAGAGAGGGTGAATCAGCCATCCAAGGAGACATCTCTTCCCTTCTCCCCCCAGTCTGGCCAGAACACCAGGATGGAAAACAAGCGCTTCTTCACCTCCTACCCACCCGGGGGAGCGGCGGGGAGCAGTTCTGGTCTGCCACTGGGACAGCGTGACCCCTGCAGCAGAAGTGTTCCCTGGGGAACCTGCGGTCAAGTAATGGCAGTGTTGGGCTCTCTCTTCTGAAGAAGGATGACGACACTCCCCCCTTCTGCTGCTCCTGTAATTTGGTCTGTCCACACAAATGATAAACACCTGGCCCGCCCCCTGCCCTCCATCTTGCCTGGTGGATGTGCAGACACGACAAAGTTTATTTTAAGCACAGTGGCATGTCTGCAAGATGACATTTGAGATTGAGACTGTCCTACAAAGAAGTCCTTGTGGACACGTTGTTGATGGGATTTGCACTTGGATTTGTAGCTTTTTCATTCAAGCCACGGGTTTGCTACTCCATCGGCAAAGATGGATTCCACCCCATATCCCTTTGTAACTAAGGCATGTGCAGGTTCCAGCAAAGCAAATCAAACTGGAAAACAGCCAAACCCATCACTCCAGACTTGGAATCATGTGAGCTCAGCCTGTGAGTGAGAGAGTCTCAGTGGCTCACAGCTTCAATCTGAGTCCTAGACGGCCGATACCAGAAGTTGACTGATCGGCAGACGACAGGTGTCGATTCCAATCTTGTGCCTCTACCAAGGAATGCAGCACAAGAACGGGAGAAAACGCTGAGAACCAGGATACTGACCTACACAAGTTCAGTAGGTAGCAAAATCACACATTATTTAGTAGTCGAAGGAGCCGCTTTGGGACCTTTATGTCACTGCGCTAAATTAAAACTGTAGGGAGCAGGTGGGCTCGGGACCTCCGGGTAGTCAGGGAGAGGGATGTTCTGGCCTGAGAGAAAAGGGAAAGATTATGGAGTATGACGGTCAAATCCTCAGCTGCCTCAACGTGGTGACCAAGGATGGAACCATCCACTGTGTCAGACACAGGTGCTTCAACTGTCGTTATGCAGACAACAGATCACTGAGGACAGCAGTGAGTCGGGGTGGGCTACTCAAGGCTGGTTTGGAGCAGCGGTTTTATATTGGGCCATTGACTACCAATCTTTCTTTGTAAGGGCTCCCAGTGCTGGGTGATGTGTGAACAACTGGCCCAGGGAGCATCACTTGGTTAGGATAAGGGATTGTCCTCCTCCTGGTTTTGCTTTCTGCTTCTCCTACCCTCTTCTTTTTCCTGGCAGCCAAACTCCCAGCCAGCTACTCTCCCAATAGCTCCCTGTGGCCTGGAAGAGCCATGTGCCAGAACCCTGATACCGGCTTGCGATGTGCAACAACAGCTAATTCAAACTTTCAAAATCCTAAATCAAGCTTTCTTACTAGATGCAAAGACCAAAAGGCCGAAAGTCAGACAAAACGCTGATTTGTGCAAGCCTTGTGGGGAGGGGAGTCTACTTGGGGGCAGCCTGTGGTTTGCCTTGTTCCCAGAGGCATCCTTGCAGACCCCAGAGAGCAAAGGCCGAGCTCATGCCCACTCCCAGAGCAAAGCAGGCCTGTTTTGGAAAGGAGACGGGTTTACACACGGCTCCGGCCTTGGCAAGCTTGGTTCCCTATAAAATCTCGCTTTGGGTTGTTCAAATATCCACTGTAGGAAACAAATTTGCAACCCATTTCTCAAGTTACCTACACTCAGAAAAACAAAATTTGATACCCCGGGGTTTCTGCGTGCAGGGCGCTTCCCATCAGGGCGAGCGAGGGCGCAAGGGGCAGGGCGTCTGCTGAACTCACTGCCGGAGCCCCGGCTCGCCCCCAGCGCCCTCCCCAACCTCGCCACTTCCCGCCTCTCCAGGCCCGGTGACCTCATAGCATTTTTCTCCATGCATACTTTGGCGGCGTCCCACGGCCTGGCTGCCGTTGCCTGTCTGAGTCTTTTGAAATTCCTGCATGTTCGCCCCAGATTAAACCGAGCGTCTCCGGCCGCGCGCTGCGTCCTGAACGCGCGCTGTGCAACGTGTCTGGGGGCGGCGGCCAGGCGGGCGGGCGGGGCGGCGGCGTGGAGCTGTCCACCCCGCACGTTTCCAATCGCATTACGTGAACAAATCGCTGAGGGCCGGCCGCGCCAGGATGGCTTGTGTAACTTTGCAAACGTGCCAGAAAGTTTAAAATCTCCCCTCCTTCCTCCTCTGCAGACGCTGCCCGCACGCCGGGCCACTGTGCCGCTCCCGCAGCCTTCCAGAGCCACCCGGGGAGGCGAGAGCCACAGGAGCCACATCTCCGCAGCCACCTCAACTGGGGAAGGGGCCACGGCGGGGCTGAGGGACAGGCCTTGCGCCCCCCTCCTGCTCCCCTTCCTCACGTGATCTGAGCCTCATTTTTTTGTTTGTTTTGTTTTTTCCATTTTCTCCGAGCCGCGAGTCCTGGGGACAACCCCGAGCTGGGAGCGATGCTCTGCGCCTGGACGGTGCTCCTGCTTGGGCCACTGCAGCTCTGCGCTCTGGTGCGCGGAGCCCCGCAGGCTGCAGGCCAGCAGCGGTCCCCGCGTGAGCCGCAGCCACAGCCACAGCCCGCCGCTCCGGGCGCCTGGCGTCACAGGATCCAATGGGAGAACAACGGGCAGGTGTTCAGCCTGCTGAGCCAGGGTGCCCAGTACCAGCCACAGCGTCGCCGCGACCCCGGTGCTGCCGCCCAGGGTGCCCAGAGCGCGCCCGGCCAGCAGCCCCGCACACCAGTGCTGCTGCTGCGTGACAACCGCACGGCCGCCGTGGCAGGGGCCACCGCCAGCCGCCCCCGGCCCGCCGCCCGCCACTGGTTCCAAGCCGGCTATGCACGGTCTGGGGCCGGTGATGCCAGCGCCTCGCGCGCGGGCAACCGAACGGCACAGGGCGAGCTCCCAGCGCTCAGTAACCTGCGGCCTCCCAGCCACGTGGACCGTATGATGGGTGACGACCCGTTCAATCCTTACAAGTACTCGGACGACAACCCCTATTACAACTACTACGACACCTACGAGAGGCCCCGGCCTGGGAGCAGGTACCGGCCCGGGTATGGCACCGGCTACTTCCAGTACGGTAAGCGCCCCCAAGATGTGCGCCCTCGACGTGGCTGCTGGGTGCGGCGGGGCCAGGCCTTGCAGATGCGTTCCCTCCCCTTGCCACTCCTGCCCTGGCAGCGGTGGAATCTGCCGCAAACAGTGCGCTTGGCCCCCTGCTGCTTCCTCTGCACTTTGCTTCCCAGCCCCAGGAGCCCCCTCACTCCTGCACCCTCAGCCGCTGGGCACAGGAGATGGAGCTAGGCACCGGTGGGGCCAACAGCACCTCTCACCTCAGCGCCTGTCACCTGCTGACGTTTAGGTCTCCCGGACCTGGTGCCAGACCCCTACTACATCCAGGCGTCCACGTATGTGCAGAAGATGGCCATGTACAACTTGCGATGCGCTGCGGAGGAGAACTGCCTGGCCAGGTAGAGGCTGGGGTCTCGGCCGGTGACTCCTTGGCGCATGGCACCCACTGCTTCTGTTCCGTAAGGATAAGAGCTAGGAAATGGGACATGATCTCTAGGCCATGCTGGCCTCCTGCCTGGAGGGCTAATATTTTGAAGATTTCTAAGGGTTCTCTGCCTCTCAAACTGCAGAGAAAAGGCACACGCGCGAGGGGAGGGGGAAGGGGTGGGGTGCTGGAGATAACCCTTCTCTTGGATATGGGGTGCTGCATGATATTTTCCCACCAAGATTCTTTGGAACCAAGTGTTTCCACTCACCTGCAAAACCAAGTCTGCAGGAATGCAGAGAAGGTTACAGTAAAGGCAGAGCAGTCCCCCGTCCCTTGGGATCAGAGTGGAGGCAGATCTGCCACTGTGGCATATGTCCACATGGGGAATGGCTGACTCTCCCTCTTTTGTCTAAGGCCACGGCTAACTTGGTTGTTTGCTGTTGGCTGCAGCCAGCATGAGACCGTGAGGCAAGAGCTAAAATAAAAGAGCCGTTTCTGGATGGGGCCTCTCTGCCTTGGCTGCTGCCGAGCCAGCAGAGGGAGCAGACCATGAAAAAAAAATGTTAATGTAAAATAAGGTCATGAATGGTAGGGAGCCTTCTCACACGAAAGCTAGGAGCAGGGACCCAGTGGCACGTGCACATTCCTTCAGCTCTGGCTCAGCTGGGACAAGAAATGCAAGCTGGCTCTTATTGCTGGTCTTCCCAACCTTCCTGGCTCAGCCCCCTGTGATGTCACCACAGTGAGAGCCTCTTGGTACAAGGCTGGTGAAGGGAACACCTCGATCCGAACTCCACAATGATTTTTGTTTGTTTTAGTTATCTTAGTTAGCAATTGAAGAAACGCCCGACCCGAATTCAAATCCTTAATAAATATCTTCGGGTTTTCAATTGGGAGAAGTTCCACATCTGTTTCGCTGTTTGCGACAGTGGAAGGAGTTTTTGTACAAAGTTAAGCTTTCTCATGGTGGTTGTTTGTGCTGCATTTACTGCGTTTTTAAGTTCTGCCTGGAAGTAGGTTTTGTCTTTCACCGGTTCCCAGGTCTGCAGTGAGCTCTCACTGCTCAGGGACTCTGCCAGGAAAGGGAGATTCAGCAAAGAGTGAAACAGACAAGAATGCGCTGGTCTTCTAGAACCCCTCCTTTGGTCTTGCCAGGGAAGGAGCGGTGCGCTCTCGTGTAGCAGTTATTATTCTGTGACTCCAGTAATTGTCTCCCCTTTCACATCCAGCTCAGCATACAGGGCAGATGTCAGAGACTACGATCACAGGGTGCTGCTCAGATTTCCCCAGAGAGTGAAAAACCAAGGCACTTCAGACTTCTTACCAAGCCGACCACGGTACTCCTGGGAATGGCACAGTTGTCACCAGTAAGTGTGGGGCTGCTTGGGTCATCACAGGTTGCTTTTTCCCTTTTGCTGATGGAACTCGGATGATGGGCCCATGTCGTCTTTCTTACCCAAAGGGTGCAAATTTTCTTCTGTGCAATTTTACTTAGTCAAAGGAGATAATCCACCAACTGGTAGAGGTTATCTTTGGGATTGGAAACTCCAAGCCCAACTTAGTCCAACTGGATATAGGACAGCAGTTGCCTTCAGAACAGCTTACAGTTGTATATACATAGGATTTCTGAAACAGCTAAATGCTCCTAGAGTGAGCATTTGTTGAAAATGATTGAGTTACTTATTTGAAAGGCAGAATTAAAGAGAGGGAGTGATGAGACAGAGAGAGAAACCTTCTGCCGGCTAGGTCATTCCCTAATGGTTGTAACAGCAAGGGCTGGGCGCTGCCTAAGCCAGGAGCCGGGAACTGCATTTGGGTTTCCTAATAGGTGCAGGGTCCCAGGGTCTTAGCCATCCTCCACCGCCTTTTGAGGCACGCTAGCAGGGAGCTGGGTCATAAGTGGAGTGACTAGGACTGAAACAGGTGCTCATATGGGGCGTCAGTCTTCCAGGTGATGGCTTTGCCCGGGGTACCACAACACTAAGACCACATGTTCCTATCAAAAAGATTGGGATTATTTTCAGACATGCAAATGAGACACTTTGTGAGCCATGAAGGACACTTCTACTTTTCAAAAAGTCTGTATCTAACCCAGTGATTCCTGTACCATCCTCCACTTACACCTTTTCCCATGAGGTCATGGTGTTGTTATCTGCCCTGGTGCTTATTGCCAGGAAATCCTAATGTGTGACCTTCAACTTCCTTTCTGAAATTCACGCCACTTCTCATTGTTTCTTTTTGCCTGGCATGAGCTGAACACCTTCGAGTTGATGAAATGAGAGGAGAAGCCCCAGGCCACCCAATTTGCTAGTCAGATAAGAATGTTTTATTTCTCAGGCTGAATTCATACCATTTTAACAGTAGTGGTGGATAAAACCTGCCATCATTTCTGCTCTGCATTTCAGTCAAGATTTTAACTATATAAGCGCTGCATTGTCTAATGTGTCAGGGACAGTCATGTGTTGCTTCTGGGGAGTGGAGCATCTGTCGTGCAGCCAAGGCAGACCTAGCGGAGAGCACACGCCAAGCTTCCCTGAAGCATAGATAATTTATCAGTCAGCTCTGTTAATATCCAATGACTATACCTGATAGAGTGGAAAAGCAAAATACCCTTAAGTCTTTACCATGAGTGCTTAAGAAAGTTTGTTGGGCACTATTGTAGCATAGCAAATTAAGCTGTGCCTGTGTTGCCAACATCCTTTACGGGCTCTGGTTTGTGTCCCAGCTGCTCCATTTCCAGTCTGGCTCCCTGCTAATGTACCTGGGAATGCAGCAGAGATGGCTCAAACACTTGGGCTCCTGCCCTCATATGGGGGACCTAGAAGAGACTCCTGGGCCCTGGCTTCCGCCTGGCACAGCCCCAGCTGCTGCAGCCATTTGGGGAGTGAACCAGCAATGGAAGATCTCTCTCTGACTCTCCTTCTCTCTTTCAACTAACTCTTTCAACTAACATCTTAAAAAAAAAAAACTTGATGAATTTTTGTCTTTAGGAAAAAAGTGTAGTGCCTCCCTCTCACAGACTTCATCTCAGTTTTAATGTGAGAACAAACTTGTGAGGTGTCAGGGACGAAGGCTCCTGGCCTCAGGATTGTCCCTGCCTGTCACTGACACTGTTCTGTTGTGTGGGTCGTTAGACACTACCACAGCATGGATGAGTTTAGCCACTACGACCTGCTTGATGCCAACACCCAGAGGAGAGTGGCTGAAGGGCACAAAGCCAGCTTCTGTCTGGAGGACACCTCCTGCGACTATGGCTACCACCGACGATTCGCGTGTACTGCCCACACACAGGTAGGTGAGGGGTACCTGGAGAGCAGGACCCCAGGCCTCTGCAAGAAGCCACGTGTCTGTGCTCTCTGCTCCTGAACAATTGCTTCATTTTCCCCATTATCGAGCTGGAAAAGAGTTGGGAAAAGGACATCTGCACTCATTCCTTACTTAAACACCAAGGGGAATAAAGTTGTGAAGAAATTCCTGTTTGTGCACCTGCAAAAACCTTCATTTCCCCTCTGTTATGCTAAAAACAGAACAGTGCTGGAGGTTAAAAAGAGGAAATGTATAAGGTTCTTAAAAGGTGCTTTAAGGAATTGTCTCTTTCAATAACGGGAACAGGAACCAAAGGGTACGGTTTCTTTCTGCACACATACACTTAAACTACAGTATAATTGATGGCAGATGTCCTTTGGATAGTTAAAAATACTGCTGACCAAGCGGTTTCGATGTCTCAGAATTGGAAAATGTGTGTCAGTTAAAAAGCCTTGTTGAGATTTCCATATGAAACCCTAATTTGTAAAAGGACATTATAATTTTACTGTAACCCGAATCTTGGCGAGGAGCAGCGGATGCATATAAGCCAGGGTGCAGAGGGCTCTGCAGCTGTCATCTTGGGAAGTGATTTCCAGGCCTGTGGTAGGAAGCTTCACGATGACCTAAATATTGCCATCTCTTCTTTGCCTGAGCTTGGACAGAACAGCGATGGCGAGAAGTGTAGGGGGTGGGAGGGCTGTGGTGTAAATGCTCCAAGCTCTAGAGCAGTATTTATTATTTAAGCAACAAGATATGTGACTGGCCAGTGTAACAGGCGTGAGTGTGTAGACTGCCTGTTCATTCAGTGGCCTGTGGTCCTCCCAGCACCACAGCGATAGGGACCTGGAGTTTATTTCTCCACTTACAAGAGGAGGTACAGTGGATGGTTCACTCTTCAAATAGCTGCCTCCGGTATTCTAGGAATTGATAGTGTTTCCATCTCTCCAATCCTTGGAGTGCACCCCACTTCATTTTCTATGGAGGCCTTCTTGCTAATGAGTCTCCGTATATACCCTCTGGATACACTCCTGCATTACAAGTGACTTCAGCATTCCTCCCCCCAATTAACTGGACCCTAACTTCTCTTGAGCATGAACGTAATTTTAAAAACAAAACATGCTCAGTGTCAACGTTGATTAGTTTTACTATAAAGGTGATTCAGTGTATTCAAGTGTAAAGCAAAGACTTCTTTGACTTCCTTTTGGTTTAATGTAATGTCTGTGTTCTAAGCCAACAAAGTAAAATACTGAATACAAATAGTAAACGCCAAACCAAAGGCAGTCATATAGGCTTTGCTAACTGTATAATAAATGGTTGTGTTAGCTAAACCTAAGCAGCTGACCCGGGTTCTACATGTGATCTGGTTCTCCCTTCAATTCAACGAGCTGTCTTGGTGACAATATGATGGACAGTAGAGCGAGGAACAGCGAGTATAGTTTACTGATGGTGTGCTGACTGGACCCAAATCTCCTGAACTCAAAACCAGCTCAGCCACTTGCTAGCTGTGTGTCCTCTGGTAAGTTATCTGACCTTGGTGCTCCTCGATTTCCTCATTAATAAAACAAAGACAATGCCTTATACAGTCATCAGAATTAGAGTTGCATAATTAAAATCTTTCTATCTAACATTTATTTATTTTTACTGGGAATCAGATTTACAGAGAGAAGGAGAGACAAAGATCTTCCATGTGCTGGTTTACTACCCAGGTAGCCGCAATGGGTGGTGCTAAGCTGATCTCAGGGCAGGAGCCAGGAGCTTCTTCCAGGTCTCCCACATGGGTGCAGGGTTCCAAGGTCTTGGGGTATCCTCTATTGCTTTCCCAGGCCACAAGCAGGGAGCTGGATGGGAAGTGGAGCAGCTTGGACATGAGCCAGCACCCATAAAGGATCCTGGCAGATGCAAGACAAGGGTTTAGCCACTAGGCTATTGCGCCAGGTCAGGAACTACCTGTTTAACATGAATACAATTCTTGGCGGGTAACAATGCTTGATGAATGTTAGCTAGTCCGTGATGCAAGGCAGACAGTAACATGAGAGAACCCTCATAAGATGTGTTCCGTTGGACGAAGGATTTCTCTGCAGAGGGACATTTGGGCTATATTAATTATATTAGTATATTAATTATTAAGTGGTCCGAGATCAGTAGCAGTCCATTTTGTGACTTAAGGATGTCACTGGCGACTTAGGTAGCTTTTTGGAAGTGAGGTGTGCCACTTCTTTAAATGAGTAGGTCCTGCATCTCTTTTAGCTGGAGATAAGGGAGATGAAAGCTGAGTCTAGTTTTATGTCAGACCCTCGCAAGTACTAAATTATGAAATAATCTGCAAACATCAGCACCTTCTTCGGCAGCACCTGACCATGCACCGCCGTTTTCACCTTCTGGCTCTGTGTGTTGTAGGGGCTGAGTCCCGGCTGCTATGACACCTACGCTGCAGACATAGACTGCCAATGGATTGACATCACAGACGTGCAGCCTGGCAACTACATCCTCAAGGTAGAGACCTTTGCAGACAGTGCACGGGTGTCCAGGGCAGGCCTATAGACGTCTCTGCACGATTCAAATGTTAAACACCATGGGCTTCCAAGTGTTCGTGCCTCTTCTAGAACCATTTGCAAACAATAGGAAGATGAAAAATATCTCCTATCTCGAAGAACTTCAGGGGAGAATGAATCTATCTCCACCTTAGTGTCTCAGGAATATGTGCTCCCACATACTCCATTCCCAGATTAATGGAACTGAAATCTTTCATGAATAATTCCCTATGGTGGCCCTGTGGGAATAGTTAGAAATAGACCAACTCCAATGCTAGCCCTGTGGGAATAGTTAGAAATAGACCAACGCCAATGCTGTTTCTGTTGCTTAGGTCAGCGTCAACCCCAGCTACCTGGTGCCGGAGTCAGACTACAGCAACAATGTTGTTCGTTGTGACATTCGCTACACAGGACATCATGCATATGCCTCGGGCTGCACAATTTCACCGTAAGTCTCCCTTGCTCTGTTTGTCAATTTTTAGCTTGAATCTGCTTTAATGAAGCCTAGATAGGTTCGCCAGCTTGCCTTCTGTCCCACCCCATTCCCTGATGCTTCACAGTGGCTGGGAAATGCATCTTAGCAATGCTGACTGGCTTCTACCTGCCGGATAAGGAGAATATCCTCAGAGGGAGACTGACCACTCAGCAGCTCAGGCCTGGACAGCGAGAGGCACCAGTGGCTCTGTGTCAGCAGGAGGGGGCAGTAGAGCTAGCCTAGACACTTTCGCATCACCAGGGTTTTCTCTGTCATCCAAACACAGAGCAGGGATTTGCTGCACTTGAACCTGCTGGGCGGGAGCTTTCCCAGGTGCACCGCAAGCTCTACGTGCAGGCTTCACTCCCCAGCTGGGCTCCACACAAGCCCCTGCTCGATTCCCAGAGCCCTGGCTGGAGCCCATGGCCCCAGGTTCTCAGGTGGGGCCAGGTGGGAGGACATCTTCCCTGATTTACTGGAAGCAGCAGAGCTTGGGTTGTGCGAGTGTCCTCGCAGCATTGGCTGTGGAAAAGCCTCTGACAGCCAAGGACTGGCCCTGAGGAAATCTACTGAGATTTGTTCTCATGAGCCACAACACAGAAAGCCTGAATAGTTCCGTGGACCATGTTATGAGAAGCTGGTCATGGTATGGTGGAAAGCCCCAGAACACCACTGCAATCTAAAGTAAAAGAAATGCATTCATTACAATCCCTTCCTTGCACTCACAGTAGTTCCTGAGAGCTGCCTCTATTGCTAAAAATCCACCTTCTTTTTATCAGTAGAATCCAGTGAATTGGCTATAACCAGGACATAGAAAAAAGCAATAGTCCTGTTATTCTCTGGCAATAGGGTGATTCTACAGGAGGGATTCCTGCTGTGCCTAAGGAAGGCCACATTGTCCAGCAGAGTACCAGAAGCGTGCCCAAGCCCCCATTGCATAAACTAGCATGCAGGCAGCAGTGTGTCTAACTTCCATGCTGTAACCTAACAATGTATCACTCACTCTCAGTTCATTGATCCTTTTCCACGCTGATCAGATATTTCACAGCTTTCTGTGAGTGTGTTAAAAAAAAAAAAAAACCACACAGGGAGTAGGTATGTGTCATTAATGTTCCCTATCTCCCTTGTTACCACATTGTAAAAAAAAAAAAAAAAAAAAAGTGGACTAGGAGAATGAAGATTCTATTCAGTAGTAAGACACTATGATTAAATTTCTGTCCTTCCAGAACTTACTGGTCGGATGCTGACGGTTCATGATGTGAACTTGAGTGTATTCTCCCTTCTGCGCTTGGGTGTCTAGGGTCACAGTTAAAATGCAACAGTAGTTGATAAACTGAGTCAGATCCAGTATCATGGCATCACTGTGCGCTCAAAGCCATGCCCAAGAAGACCAATGCAAAGCAGTATAGGGACCCTGGCTTTGGCTCCTGGGTTGTGTCACCCTTGTTCCATGAATGAGCTCACGTAGCCAGGGCTGCTAGTCCAGAAGCCCTGCTTTCCCCTTGATTGGTCCAGAGGTTGTTTCACTCAAGAGTATAGGCATCAGGAGCTAACATAAAAGTCTTTTCCAGATTACATGCAAGTAATGTATTTATGGGTGTTGCTTTGGCAAAAGGAAATTTCTAGATCAAGCTTTCAAAAGGTTGACTTTCAATGTGGCTCTGTATTCTTTTGTGAGATCACCAAGTTAATCATTCGTTGTGTTTCGTTTCCTTACTCTAGGTATTAGGAAGCCAGCTCAAGCTCCCCATGGATCAATTAGTGCCTGGTGTTCTGAAGTGGGAAGAACGTAGAGAAGCTTCAGTAGGATTACATATTTTGAAAAAAGAGAACAGAAAACAACAAAAGAATTTTTGTTGAGACTGTTCTGCAACAAAGCACATAACTGGATTTTGAACATCTGCATCAACCTTATTTGGGAAACTCTTTAATACTTATTATTCACAGTATTTCATGAAATGGCACAATGTTTCAATGCTGTAGTTGCATCCCTGGGTTTCTCAGAGAAATCCAAGTTTCTTATGCTTCTTTTGGAATTATAAATATAGCAATAATGAGTGAGCCAACATTAGTTTCTACAGTGCTGGAACTTCAGCAGATCATCCCAGGAACGGACTTGTGTCAGTCCTGGCCTAGATGAGTTGAGAACTGATGCTCCTGCTGTGAGAATAGATACAGATGCATTTGGTGCTGAGGAAGAAACACATGACCATTGGTGTCAAGAAACGGTATAGATAGCAAGCAAGCGGCAGTGTACGCTTTCAGATAGCTACGTCCCCATGTAAAAATGATGTTTGTGGTTTGTGAGTCAAAGGGAATGTTCTTTCCACAGTGCATGACCTCATCCTGACATGGCATGTCAGGTGATGCAGCCTCCAGTTTTGAGTTTTCCCATGTGCAGGGGCACTTCCAGTGGACATCTTTAAAGGATCCTTCTGGAAACCCTACTCATGAGACAGCTGTGTGACTGTGTGAAGTCACTCTGATGACAGAAGGGATAAACCCATCTGTAGTATTGGCATATTAAAGTCTCCACCAGAATTAAAATTTCCTTGCTGACACAAAACCCATACAAACAAGTTTCCTAAACCACCACTGTCTCTCAAATACTTTAAAAAAAATATAGGAGAGATCTTGAGGTTTTCAGTTTTTCTACCTTTTAAAAAAAAAGTTCAATTTTTTAAAAAAGAGAACTGATAAAAGAATTAAATTTTTCAGAATTGATGACACTGTGGATGCTATACTCTACAATACTGAACCTTGCTACTCAGCAGTCACACCTGATTGTGTATGCAACATGGTCCAAATTAACACAACACATGGCATTAGCTACTAGAGGAGTTAAGCTATATGGAGAACAACAACCTAGGTCCGTGCTGCATAATGAGACAGGTCTGACTTTGCTTTACACTGTGAAACCACCACAGAATTCAGAGATTTTCTCTTTTGTCTAAATTCAAAAGATGCAGAAAGAATATAAATTGGACTCCAAAGTGCATGGTGCTTAAGCAGAAGTTTTCCTATGTTAGTAGGTATCAAAATCTCCTGGCATTTCCAGTGCCAGATCAGGCTAGGCAGAATGTTCACAGTGAGTTGGCATCCTATTTTAATTGTCACAGGTGGTGTGGAGTCAACACCAATGACCAAAACCCATGTCCCCTCGGAGGGCACATACATGCTAAGAGGGGCTGGAAATGGACGGTAACCGAGGGGCAGTCAGCGGTACACTTGATCCTTGCCTGCTGGGCCACATGCTTCCAACAGAGAATACAGACAGAGCTTCCACTGAGCTAGTCCCTGAGCTGTGCAATGGCTTCTGGGATGCACCTCTTTTGGCTTAGTTTTCAGACTGCAGTGTGATCTTTTCGAGTGCTAATCTTTCCTAATAGAGATATTGTATCTGCTTTTCAAAACTGGGAAGAAAATGGCAAACACGAACTACTGTCAGTGTTCATACTGAGCCAGACTGGCATCTGCAGGTTGCACATTCCTGTCTTCATTGAGATCCTTACTCCTGTAATAAAGTCTAGCCAAATATCACGGCCTTTGGACCCATAATGAAGACACATTCCTAGTCACCTTTTGGGCCTCTCATCGTCCTGTCCATCCATCATCATTTGCCAGACACTCACCTGCTGGGCGTTGGAACACAGAAAAGACTTGCTAACTCCAGTCAGTATCTCTAGAATATCATTATTATCCATTAAGTTCATATAATTTTCAAGCTAAAAAAGATGTCTGCAGTTTTAGTTATTTTTCATGACCCTTCTTTATTTTAAAATAACTTAAACAGCATATGCATTTACGTATTTCTAATAATCAAAAATGTATTTCAAGTCTCTGAAGAACCTTCCCTTAAATGTAAGATGCATTGTTTTTGCTGATTTTGAAAAAAAAAAAAAAATCAATGAGGAAGCCAAAGATTCTTGCTCATTGTCTCAGTCACATCCCTTTCACTGCCATCATCGCACACAGGCCAGATCTCCTGCATCTGTTGACTTCTCTCGTAACATTTCTGAACCTCAAGGTCAAGGAGTCTTGTCCCTAAGCAACTGCCCAAACTCAGGTAACAGTTAGCTTGTAGGGCGAGGGTTAATCAGAAGCTCATGTCAGCCTCGGCAGATTTTAATTCAAACACTTGCAACCTAAGAAGTAGAGATATGAGATTTTAATATGAAGAAGAGACTAGCTTTGATACTCATCGAGGTTGTGAAAACATGAGCCAATAGGAAAACAATGGTCTGAATCCATCATATGCCCTATTATCCAATCTCAAGCCTGGCTGAGGGAGGGCCAGCCCTTTAAGCTGAGGATTCAGCCTCCCACCAGGATCACGGCATAAATTAATACACAACCTATTTCCAGAAAATCTTTATATTTTTATATAATAATTTTATTTACTGTTTCTATTCACTACACATTATTTTTAACAACTTTTTTTTTTCTCTTGAAAATCTTACAGGATAAGCGCAAACATTCCTACTTTTCAGATTCTAGGAGACATTCAGTTTGACAAAATTTTTCTTTTACTCACAGCCAACCTTTAGCAGACTGCCTTACAATAGTTAATTTGTGGTCTGGTAGGGACAAAAAGATACCCCTTGTCTATTTTATGTCTTAAATTCATGCTCACAGCCTGTGCAAACTGAGGTTTATCCCAACTACTTTTGTACACAAGGTATTTCATTTATCCCTCAATTTAAAATGGTGCTGAATTGTTTCGACTTGAATGTAAATGCATTAATCTTAGCTCGTGGGAATATAAACATTTAATTAATATATAATTGCTTGCTTTTAAGTGGCATGTCATTTGGTATTATAATGTTTTTAATAAAGTTTTCTTTCCAAATTTTTCAGGAATCCTATTTGTAGAGCATTTGTAACTTTGAAGAGCTTTAATTTTAAATGCCCACACACTGGCTTTATACTTGCTTTTGCCTTTTCATATTCTGTTATTATATGCCTATATTATGATTG